TGTCTGGAATCTGAAGGGCCTGGAAAGCCCTCAAAATATCATCAAAATTCCTCTCAAAGGAGAAGTGGAGACCTTCGTCGATGGATTCAACTATTATATAAAATGCAGACACACGAGCAACGCAACCTTGATGAAGGCACGATACATAGGAAATTAAACGCTGCATTAATTAGTCACAGCATTTTTAATATATTATAAATGTATATTTACTAATCTAAGTTCGTTGCACCATATAGCGCTGTTATGTTAAAATTTGTTTGCCTTGAATAGTATGCAATGAAGAATTCTTTATAATTATTGCAGTATAATATAAAATAATATAATATAAGTGTAAATATAAATGTTTAGCTGTTCTTACAAAAGTAAGTATTTCTGTATTTTACAAAGAGTCTATCGAGGGAGCTAAAAAAGTTTAAATGCCATGTAATACTTCAGAGATTATATATTTGCTCTAAAAAAGTGGACCAGCTGCGATGGAAGACAACGCCACCTGAAAAGCAAAAGAAGTTGGTAAACAAACCGAAGATTAACAATTTAGATCAATGTTTCTCAAACTTCCTCCTAAAGAAAATAATACAAAGAATAAGCACTTTTATTCCCCTATATAATATACTTCTTCTTTTTCTTCTTTTTCTAAGTCGACAGTTTGAGAAACATTGCTTCGAACAATAAAAAGAAACAAACTTTCGCAGCTTTCTTAAGAACAGTGACTTCTTCCGGTTTGGCTTTATTCGCAGCCACCTCAGTCTTTTTCTTCTCCTCCACTTTGAACATTTTCTACCAAAACAAATGTTTCAACTTTACATGTATCTAAATTATCACACATTTCTTAAACCATGTAGTTTCAAGTCCTTACAGGATCCTTCTTCGAGAACTTCTCCTCCATCTTCTGTCTTTCTTCTATTGCATTATTCAGAGCAGTCTGTTCCGCAGGAGTGAGTACCAGAAGTCGAGGATCCATGGCGATCCAGTCGCTGCTCAGGATCTGCTTCAAAGTCCAACGTTTGGTTGGTACGGGCTCCAGAAGAAAGGTCACCAACTTCTTAACATTTTCACTCAACGATGGTGCAACCTTGCTGCGAAACTTCCACTTGCGATTTCTCTGTTGTTCGTACAGCCTTTTGATGTCTGTGTCATCAAAAGGCATCGCTTTGTTCAGGAGAATATACAATATAACTCCTAACGACCAAATGTCAGCCATCTTTGGGCTGTACGGAGAGCCACGAAGGATCTCTGGTGCAGCGTATGACAGGGAACCGCAGTAAGTGTCACTGAGAACTTGCTTTCCACGGTTGTCAATCACGTAACGAGCAAACCCAAAGTCAGCGAGCTTCACATTGTAATTGGAGGTCAGGAGAACATTCTCACACTTCATGTCACGGTGAGCAATCTCCAATTCGTGTAGGTACTGGAGACCTGGAAGAGAAATGGATGTAGCGAAAGCTTTATGCTCCTATCCTCTGTTCTAAACATGCAGAGAAACTGCTTCGCTGTCATCAAACTGCTTTATTTTCATAGAAAATCCAGAAAGGAACCCTCTATCTAGGGTTATGGAGCAGAAGACACCCTTGATTCTATATTGAAGTTACCAAGCACGAGCTGTCTGATCCACACGCGTGCCTGGCCTTCTGCAACTGCGCCATTCTTCAGAATGAACTCGAGAAGATCTCCGTTCTCAGCGAATCGCATGAATATGAAGTACGTGGTTCGCCTCTGGAATATGCTGTGCACGTGCACCACGTGGGGGTGGTTCAACTTCACTAGGATGTCAAGCTCCCGGGGCAAGAATTTCCTGACAAAGTCCCTTGGAGCTCTCACGGTGTCTATTACTTTGCAGGCCAGTTTGCTGTTTCTGTCAGGGTCCGATTCTGTTTTGTATTCCGCTAGATAGACCTAAAATTTCATTTTTAAACTGCGTTAGATAGATGAAGAAAGAATGAACACTCTAAAATTAATTGTCTTATGTGCTAAGAACTCATTCAAAGTTTGAATTTATAATTGCACAATTTACCTTTGCGTAAGAGCCTTCACCTAATTTCTTCAGGAACTTGTAGCCACGCGCGAATAAAACGGCTTGTTCGGATGAGGTCTGATTCAGATCCGACATGAGATCTCAGGATCCTTTGGTGACATCCTAACGCCTCTGTTACCATAATTCACGATTAATTACAGTTTTTTCGTTTCTTCTTCTCTTAAAAACAAATTTTACTCTCGTTAATAAGTTTTGTAAATTTAGTTTGCACCAAGGGGATTTCTAAGGATAATCTTTTATCTCGTTGAAGTTCCTACTTGTAGATCTTTTACTGCATATCTGACCTCGCTTTTACCAAGGATTATGATATATTAATTACGTGTGACTGATTAACAAAAATTTCTCTTGAGTAGGATGCTTTACTGTGTCATTTCTAGATATTTTAATTTGCCCTTGTTTTACAGCTTTTGTTACAGGAATGGAGCGAAGGGAAGTAGAGTTTTGAAAGCGAAGATACCTGTTTTTACTTAACCATTTTGTGTAATTTATATCTTGCTTGAAAAAGAGCATGACAAAGGAATTCATAGCCTGCTAGGGGTGGTTGATTGTTTATTTTAAACTTCAGAGCAGTACAAATCTATTTTACATGACGATACCTATATATATAATAGAATGGTCTATTTAATAGTAAACTATAAACAAAAATTGTATTACAACCTATATATATATAATAGAATGGTTTATTTAATAGTAAATTATAAATAAAAATTGTATTACAACCTATATATATAATAGAATGGTCTATTTAATAGTAAACTATATACAAATATTGTATTACAACCTATATATATATAATAGAATGGTATATTTAATAGTAAATTATAAACAAAAATTGTATTACAACATTGTAAATGATCCAATACATTGACTTAATGATAATTGTGGAAAGTATTTAAATATTCGCGGGTGAAATTTGAAATTCAAACACAGGAAACGTTCGATCGAGAAATATCGATTCGAACTCGTCTATTCGATATCTCGAAGCGTTATTGGTCTTTCTTCCGTTACCGTACTTAGAAGAAAGAAGGAACGTAAGTAAGCTAAGAGTTATTTTCCAATTTTTTAATGTAAATCTTACGTTGACACGCTTCTTTCCTATTTTGATTAACATAAATGATCCCATAACATCGAAAATACAATAAACAACAAATTTTTTGATTACATTACGATAATAAATACTGCAATTCATAGTGCCATGTGTTCTGAGGTTAGGTTGTCTTTTCATAAATTATTGTTTACCATTCATGCTTTAGAGCACAAACACTGACAAATTCGGTATTTAATTGTCATTTATTTGTTACATATTCTACAAATATTTGAAACTGGACTCATTTATTAATTAATGAATCCAAATTTGTAAACTAGAAACTAATGTTTATACGTATCAATCTGAACGATCAAAAGTAAACTAATTCTTGTGAAAGTTACCATTTTTTTTAACCCTTTTAGTGCTGTTCCATATTTTATTGTCCCATATAACTTGAAATATCCAAATTTATTCATCTTCTAAGCCATCTTTTATATTTTAACATTTTTAATAAAATAGTTAGGTGTGCGGTACTCCACATGGAGTGCTTTGGCCAAGGTTCAGCACTGAAAGGGTTAAACTCTATCAAACCATTACTCGACCAATATCATTTATTTAATGCTTCCATATTGGAGTACAAAGTCAGAGTTTAACCTTTTGTTGTAACGTTTACCCTAAAATCATCTAAATTGTATTTACAAAAGCAAACATTAGCCAAACAACTTAGAACTGCGCCGCAATTGTCCAAGTCCAACCCTTGGCTCTGTTAACATCCAACATGAAACTGTGAGTGAGAGTCAAAGTATGCAAGTTAGTATTCATTAATGTCGCAGAATGGCGGACGCTGCTCCAGCCACGCGTGGAGGATTCCGAGGAGGGTTTGGTTCCCGTGGAGGTGGTGATCGCGGTGGGCCAAGAGGCAGAGGTCGTGGTGGCAGAGGAAGGGGCCGTGGACGTGGTCGTGGCAAAGAAGACAGCAAGGAATGGATTCCGGTTACCAAACTTGGCCGTTTGGTCAGGGATGGGAAGATCGAATCCTTGGAGCACATCTACCTTTTCTCTCTGCCCATTAAAGAATACGAAATCATCGACAAATTTCTTGGAGCTGAACTGAAAGACGAAGTCTTGAAGATCATGCCTGTACAGAAACAGACCAGGGCCGGTCAGCGTACACGCTTCAAGGTAAACTTACTGGAAGCTTGAAAGAATAACAGTACGATGCATTATACAGTAATATATTCGTTAATGATTTCCTTCTGCATTTTTCAGGCTTTCGTAGCGATCGGTGACTACAAGGGTCACATAGGTCTTGGTGTTAAGTGTTCCAAGGAAGTAGCCACTGCTATCCGAGGTGCAATCATCCTGGCGAAACTTTCGGTCGTACCCGTGCGTCGTGGGTACTGGGGAAATAAAATCGGTGATCCCCACACAGTGCCCTGCAAAGTAACTGGCAAATGTGGGTCGGTCCAGGTGCGTTTGATTCCTGCACCGAGAGGCACAGGCATAGTCTCCGCACCCGTGCCCAAGAAACTACTGCAGATGGCTGGTATCGAGGACTGCTACACATCTGCAAGGGGATCTACGTGTACTCTGGGTAACTTCGCCAAAGCAACCTACGCAGCCATCGCCAAGACTTACGCGTACTTGACACCAGACCTTTGGCACGACCAAGCACTGCGAAAGGCACCTTACCAAGAGTTCGCGGACTACCTTTCTAAGAACCATAGAGTCATGGGAGGACAGAGACCTGCCGAGACTGCTTAAACAATAAACCTTCATGCAGAATATTTGACTGTACTTGTTTTCTTCCTCTGACCATGTTTTGAATGTTTATTTCTGCGATTCCCATTTAAATATCAGTCAATAGAGAGTTCTAATGGTTGAAGAATGATTGCGAATCATTCATTATTTGTAATGTGTAAGATTCTATGGTGGGATATTAACACGTCATTGAATTTTTAGATATCGATATTTGTTATTTGATACAGAATAACGAAAGAATACATTTTATCTTTAGTATTATTATTATTATATAATAAAAGATCGGATAATACAATCATGTACTGTCTACAGAAGCATCATTGGAGTTCTTGAACCTATTGTAAGCGTTATTGAAAGTCTCCAGACTGTGATCGCAAATCATTTCAAAGTCTTGCAATCCCTTTCGCAATATATCTACTGCTTTTCCTTTCTTTGCTTGTATTCTTAAGTAAATGTTTCCCTCTGATGGGTGATTGATGAAGCAGGCACAGAACTCCACATCGGGGCTGTTGAAAATTACATGAGGGTTCAGATTAGGAAATTAATATGACTTTAATGTTAATAATATATCTTAATCATACTTTTGCGAGATAACAGATACCAAGGAATTTCCCAAGGTATAACCTTCACCCATGAACACAAAGGTTTTGTTTTGGTCAGATGACTGCTCCCCAGCTACCTGTAAAATAAGTTTAATGGGACTATATATTATCAATTTTTTTGGAAAAATAACTTTTACAATTTATGCAGCACTTCTTAAAAAATACTTTTATGCTAGCACATACCTCTGCTAGGCGACCCATTTTTCTTGATTTATCGTTTATTCTTCAAATAAATAAACACTGCTTGCTATTGATAAACGCAAAGCATCAAGATGGATCACATGGATTGTACAGAGCAGCTGTGACTTGGTGTGTGTTAGTTGGTGTTAGTGTAACTGGGCAAACCAACATTAAAAACATTTATATATGTCCATTTATGTACACCAGGTAACTCAAATCTCACTTCAAATGATACTTTCTATTACAAAACTTACATAAAGAATCATTTAACCAAAATTTTGATTGAATGTATCTTCACTTTTCCAATAAAACCTTACAAATGAACCTAACCTTGCCTACACACAATTTATCAAATGAATAACTCTAATAAATTAAGTAAACATATTACACATCAATTAAAAACACCTAATACATTGTTACTACTACTCTATTTCCATTGCATTAATACTACTTTTATTTCACAGGGAATATAAACAAAGAATATACTAAAATGTCTCTGACAAAGTTATTTGGTAACCTACGACTATCGATACGACTTCAAAGTAGTAGAAGATACTTGGCCTCTAAGACGGACAACATTATCGAGTCTGCCGAAGAGGTACCAGTATTTCTGGAGGAAGAAAAGACTGTACCGATAGAGATAAGAGACAAATCTAGACTCAATCCTGGACATAGAAATATATTGCGCAATGAGAAGCCTTGCATAAAATTCACGCAGTGGTATCACAATACATTAAGATACAAAAGACGAATGCTAGGTAGGTACGGCATGAAGGAGCTAGATGTTTCCGCAGGAATTGCTTGGCCTACTCGAGAGGAATTAGATGATCTCAAGGAGTATGAAAGAGTCGCTTATCCATTGAGCCTCGAGGAGAGGTGGCACAATATTAGAGAGAAACACAGGCTGGAGGAAGAAGCCATAATAGCTAGGTATATCGAACCGTGTAACTTATATTATTTTGGAACTGCCTGAAAAATCATGGAGATTGATTTGCGATACATCATTTATATATATATTTACAGGGAAAAGGAGATCGATGCTAAAATGGCAAAGATGAAAGAAATGATAGAGGAGATGGAGACAAGGGTCGCTAGGAAGAAAGCGGAAGCAGAGCAAGCGCAGTTCCAGAAGGAACGTCGGTTACGAGAAATTAGACGTCGATTAGGCATCACAGGCCACATAACCAGTGATAAAATCAAGGAGATGATGGAGAAACTGGAGAAAGAGGACAAGAAGAAACGAAAAGAAGCTAAGAAACAACGACAACTCATGAAGCAGATAGAATTGGCCCAAGTGGAGCAAGAGAAACCTGTGGTGAGCAAGGAAGGATCGCCAAACGTCGAAGAAGAACCTAAAAAGTAGAAACTTTAATCAAATGTATTTAAATATCATTTCTATATATTTAATAAACTTAGCATTAGACAGAAGCTCTTTTTATATTAATCAGTGTTTCGATGCATACAAATTTCCAGGGTAAAACTTCTGTGCAAAGAAAAGTCTCAAATGGAAGAACAATATTTACACGTCATAGTAAATGTTATATTTTCTTTTACTAATACAAAAAAACGTTACATGTCACTCTGCAAGAGCTAGAAGAAACTATACTAATATGTAGTATTAAATGACTATACGATACATATCCAGGCACAATTCGGACAATAGCATGCTCTGTTCTGTTTAAACTCTTTCGTTGAAGTTCCATAGGGAACTTGGATGAAACCAGTTTACGACAGCCAGGTAGCCCCCATAGAAATCTTGCGTTATGCCATCCGAAAGGAATCAGCTCTCCACCATGGAGGATGTGTTGCAATTTTCTGTAACATCTTGAAGCATTACAGATGGTTTTCGATCGACGAGAACGTCCTGAAACTCGCTTTCTTCAGTGGCACTGTGAACACCGCGATCACCAGTGTTTTCGACTTGATCGCAATTCTGAATGTTTTGAACGTATGTTCGATCGATGACGATCAAACGTAACTTGTTCCTCTCTGTGTGTCAGGCAGACTGGATCTGGGACGGAGATGACAATTCGTAGAACTGGAAGTTTAATTCCTCGCCGAAGAGGTTCTCCGGTGTAATTATCTCTGGTTCGACCATGTTTAGGCCCAACGCAGTTGGATTTATGTCTGTGACTAGATAACCTTCGCTTATGAGTCCGCACTCCTCTGCCACTACCTCTTTAGATACTGGATTGAGGAAGTCTACGGCAGAAATTGAATGTTGATTTACTTATTGCGTAGGAAGTGTTCTCATCTAAATATTGCATCGCAAAGAGTGTAGCTTAACATTTCCCTACTCGCAGTCAAGTAATAAGTATCGAATGATCAAGTAATCGTCTTACCACTCTCTTTCACAGGATAATGGATTTCCTGGGCCTGTTCGCTGTTATGTTCACTGTTGGACATCATCATTGGAACCAGATACTGTACCTCCACTTCCTTTTTGATACCACTGAGTATTTGTTCAGCGCAATGTTCCAATGTTACAGAATTCACAATGTTCTCCGTCTCTTCTTCTGATGACTGTTGAGTAATACTAGCAGTCGCTGCTTCCACTTCGTCTATAAAATTCATTTGACTGGGGGAGAAACAACAAGAGTTTACGAATTAAATTCATTCGGAGACTTTGAAACCAGACTTTGAAAGATAATTTATATTACAATACCTGATATTTTTTGGAGGATTCTCAGTTTCCAGACTGTTCTTGACGATTTGTTTCATAGACGAGTTACCAATAGAGGTGTTGATAATCTGTCGAGGTCTGATGTCTCCGGAGCGATTTGCAATGGCCCACAAGTGTCCAGCTCCGTGGGGTGCTTTCGATCCCTTTCGAAAGTGAGGATTTATCGAAAGGTTGTGCCGCACGGAATTTTTCCAACGATCATCGTTGTTTTTGTAATAGGGAAAATGCTCTCTAAAAACACATCGTTAAATTTCACACTGTTAATAAACGTGATCTTGTGTCAGACACGTACATACTGTCCGTTTTTTGTTTAAATTGGATGATAAGTTTGATGTTTCCAAATAAATTCTTCATTGTAAATATATTCACGTGTAAAGTTTATTCATGTAAATATTTATAGTGAAAGATTTATTTGGAAACATCAAATGTATTACTTAATTTAGACAAATTTCTTCAAGTAGAGGGTACAATACTTATGTGACTGACTGTATATATATATATCAAATTAATTAATATTGGTAATAGAGTAACTGAATAAAAGTTGAAATGTTTATAAAACTAATAACTTTTCCGACAGAACAGTTTAATACCTCTATCCTGTAGAAAATGCGTTGATTATTGATTAGGGTTGACTAAATGTATCCTTATTCCCTGTTTTAGTCTCAAATAAACTGTAAAGTATTTGTCATACTTCGAATACTTTAAAAGCATGCAAAAGTTAAATAATTGCAATGTTACAAATTTATTGTAATCTCAAGTACAACAAATAATAATCTAGAAGTATTTCAATATCATGGAACAGTCCCATAAGTAATATAATTATTAAAAGGGTATATACATAATAGCATGTACAATGTCTAAGGACATGTCTCATCATTTACATTATGACAAACGATTAAAAAGTTTCTGCCATTTATCTAGCGACTAGAAAATGTCGACAGGCCTGCACCCTTTAACGAGAATTATTTTTTTCACCTGCTCATGGCGATGTCACGGCGTGTTACACACCCATGCAATTAATTCCCTGCCTCGGATAGGAGAGGACGAAACCCCCTAAACTACTACCGCGTTAAATGGTACCCTTGCTCGCTTCAGTGACCACACAATGATTGCACGACAAAGCTTACCCCTCAGGATAGCGTATTTTCTAGAACAATAACACTAATTCAAATCTAACATTTCATTTTAATCCTAAAGCTGCAGAAAATGTGCATATTTCTGGGTCTTCCTAAAATAACACGAAGAAAAAATAGTTTCTTCCCTCTGTGTGTATTATTTAATTATCCAGAAGGACTGGAAAAATACTTTCCATGGAACGCTGA